ATGGGATTTGAACACCCAACCTACCACTTGGGGGGTTGACAACCTGACCACTTCACTAGGTCGCCACACCCCTTCTTATCATACTTTTTATCAGATCTTACATTTTAATACTTATTACATTTTCAACCAATTATCTTATTTTTTGCTAAAAATCTCTAATCTCATCTCATTGTTGTATTTTTTTAAGATATATATACTCATACTTTATTTACAATATAGTCACTTTCTGAATAGAACTGATAAATAATCCCAATTTAGAAGAATCAAAAATGTTAATTTCGATAAAAATAAGCTAGATTGCTCACTTTTCAATAAAAATTTCTTGAAAAAAAGTAGAAAAGAAATTTTTAAAACACCAACTGTAATAAGTATAAAAGTTTATATTATATAGAATAACATATCTAATTAGGTTTTTATCTTTGTTGCTGCTTTGATATAACTTGACAAAAATTTTCTTAATTGTAGCCAAAGTTATTTTTTCAATAACTTCATAGACTTCTACTGAAGAGTTAAACCCACAAAAAGTTGTCTTTTTCAACTCTTTTTCATATAACCCACATGCAATCTGAAACTCTTAAACCTAAACACTATACAGTAAAGTTTTGTTGTATATAAACATACTAGTTATATAATTTTTGTAAGTCAGTATGTATAGAAAAATTGATGCAGAGGATTATTGGAAAGAGTTCTAATATTAATAATAATAATTTATATATTTTTTTATCAGACATTTTATATGTATAATAATTAGATAGAAATTGAACTAAATTACTATCTTATTTTCATTGCTAAGATTGTTTAATTTTGAAATTATATTGTATCAACAAACATACTATTCATTCACTTTATACTGTTCTATAAAACATAATAATAATTATTAATAGCTACAGGTATTTGCAATTAATTAACTTATCATTTGCATATAGTAAATAATTGTAACTATTAAAATACAAAATGAAGGGAGTTAAATAAGTTGCAATAATTTATAACTCCATAGATAATATAAATGATTAAATTGATGTAATTAAAATGGTTCAAGAAAATTGTCAGACCTTCAAGACAAAGTTTGAATTGACTATTATATAAATATAGTGGGATCAGGATCAGAAAATCAAAGAGTAGATGAAGAGCTTGATCAAGAACAAAAAACTATTAGTATAAAATGTTAAGTCACCTGACAATTAAACAAGACAGTTCGGTAAATCACATGACCAAGTCCGCCCGGCAGTCATACAAACCCGTATTGGATGCTAACGTATCTATTAGATTGAATCGATATTCACCCCCACCCTTCTTATTATCTATCTACATATTGTTATTTAGAAATTTTACTACTTCCACTATCTTTTATATTGTTAACCAACATAGAATTAATATTAGCAAGAGAACTAAGGATTAGTCGTGCAGATCTATAGTTAATAAACATGTATAAATAGCTCGTGTCTTCATACACGAATAACTCAAGGCTTTTATTAATAAACTGTTATACGTCTATTCGTATCTTCATATACATTTAGTCGTTTGTCTCTTTCGTAATCGCAAATCACTTTAAATCCTCTTAAACGTCAATACTAGTTATTGACATAATTACTTGCTTACTACATAAGACTGTCGTAAGACATTCAATTATTAACGTCTTTACTTACTATCGTCTTAGGTTAATCTGGACTAAATCAGAGGTAGCTCGGATTAACATTATCTTTGTTTCCTTCTATAAATACCTAGTGTATACTCATCTAAAATAAAAAGAATATGGTATTAGCCAATCATAAACATTTATATTCAATATATAGACGTGATAAATCACCATCCTCCAGGGTTGGCAATGGAACTCAATGGAGCTGCGAATGGAGCCAATGGAGCTCTGAATGGAGCCAATGGATACTAGTTTTTTGAACTCCATTTGCATAGCCACTGAGCTCCATTGGCTCCATTGCCAACCCTGCCCTCCTCTAAACAATTATGTAATAAACGGTATTCCCTTTAGGGCAATACTATTTGCACTTCCCATTTTTGCTCACTCTCTAACAGTTATTAGGTAAAAAAATAAAATCTACTGGTTTTAGAATAATGGGCACTACTATTTATACTCTCAAGTTTTATCCTTTTCTATATAAATAACCAATTTTTATAAGTTAATTCATGTTATGTTTGGCTAAATAATTTTTTTTAGAGGTAGGGGATAAGAATAGCAATTTTCTAAAATTATTATTAGACAATCAATCAACCCAATCGATTAGTCAACTATTGTCAACTGTTTGGTTTTCAACTAACGATTCGGATCACTAGTTAAGAGTTAGAGGCAGGGATGATAAATAATATCGATTTGTATCGAACATTATTCGGCAAAAAAATTTGAATAACGGTAACCAGACAAATGAACTTGTGCTGTGAAGTGGGACGTATCAGCCAATCATTTGCCCGGTTGAGCCAAATTAAAAAATTTGTCGAATAATGTGTTATCCGACTATTTATGATCATGATTGGTAGGGAGTTGTTGACTGAGTTTTAATTCAACATTTCGTAAAACGTAAAAAAAAAAAAAAAATTCATGATCATAAGAGTTGTCGGATAATACTCAAAATCCTTTTTGTTTTAGAGAAGTTAGAATGGCAATAACCTAATCCTAAGAAGTCGCTATCATTCTAACTTTTCTAAAACAAAAAGGGATTTTGATTATTAATAAAACCTTTTATATGCTTCTTTTTGGTAGTTTATTTTTTTTTAAAAAGTATTTTAAACTGAATAAATAATGTAAAATTAAATTGATTTAAACAGCCAATCATACGAAAACCTTCCTATGAGGATAATATACGGTTATCAGATACGTATGATATAGTTGCTATATGTGAAGCAGTCAATGGTTTTCTTTTAGCGACACTCATTTATTCGAATATTCGTCGAATACGAATATGAAGCTCTATCCCCAGTTAGGAGTTATATGCATAACAATGATTATATGTGTACACGGGTGAAATGATGGACAAAAATCGGCTAATGATCCGAAAATGTAAGTCCTCCGGACAATAAATACATAAATTGTTTAAACGAATGTCAAAGACAAAAAAGGACAATGAAGTTGGAAATGAGTACGATAAAACCTGAATGCAATTACATTTGAAATCTGAAACTAGAAAGTTGATCAATGGATAATCATAAGGAAAAATGTAATCAATATTGATTCATTTATTCATGGATGAAACTTTCATAATGAACTCAATGGAAAATAAAAAATCTAAACGTAGTACTGAACATACCGTATACTTCCGAAATTAAGCACCTTTTTTTGTTATAGGTGTGCTTATTTTCGGATTAACATAAATCGGTTAAAAACCGGATTTTATCCTAGTAACTATTTAAAGGTCGAGTTAATAGAGGTGCGGATGCTTAATTTCGGAAGTATACGGTTATAACAGGAAAAACCCCCTTTCAGCCGTATTCATATGATTAATTGTTATATTTACGTATAGCGATAGGCACTTGATCTTGTTGAAAAAAAGGCAATCCTCTCACAATATCGAACATTGACCAAAAAATGGATATTAATATCGAAACATCTTCTAAAAACATCGAATGGAATGAGTGAATGAAAAAATTTTTTACTGTGTAGCAATAGTTCTGATCAATGAAAAATTTCTGTTGTAATCAGGTTTTGAGGCTTTGTCTAAGCTACAAGATAGCGATAACGACAGTTGATACGATTCACTCAATGGATTTAATATTACTAAAACTGGTTAATTATTATTTTACACCTGTTATTTGAGCTGTCAAACTACGTATATTCGATTGTAATCTTCACAATGTTATTAAATGGAAGAATTTTATGTTTGTATCATTTGGTTTTATATGTAATACGTAGTAAAATCCTGATTTTTAATCTATTGCTTACGTTATCGTTATAATTTTTGGCGGTAATGATAAGTTAAGTGTAACAATAATATTTGTAAATGGGATTTCTTTATCGAAATCATATGTAGTATAGTCCAAAACTTCATAGAGCTTATCATTATCACCCATTGTGAGTCTAGCACTATTAGTCATAAACCCAATATCTTTACAACACTGCGCTATGCACAAGTGACACAAAGTACATATCCTTTAAACTCTTAGTAAAATACATATCCCAACTGTATAGACTTCAAATACAAATTTTGCGTATGATTATTAGTACTCAAGGTCTCCATGTGAAATTCTTGGTTATGCAATGCCAAAGTTTCGTGTAAAAAAAAATCTTTTTTATTAATGCGCAGATAAGCAGAGCTTTAATTTTTGATTGAAGTTTGATTTGGAATGTAAGTGATTAGATTATGGATATTAATGAAAATATTTGATAGTACTCTACAAAATCAAATCAAATTAAATTTTGATTTCGCGGGTACTAATCACGGTTTTATAACTATGAATTTTTTGTTGTATAAATATATATAATTCTTATATATTATAAAATTCTATTATTTTCTATACATATAAAATTGAACAAATAGCTTTAAAAATAATAATGATCATTAGAATATATAGAATATGTAGAATAAACATTGAAATACAAACAAAAATTTTAAACTTACAATGAAATCGAAAAATAATGTGCCACCACTGCCTATCAGCCAAGCTAGGTTTATAAGTAAATACTCATAATCCATTGAGTATAAAAGTATTGACTATAATATATAATATATATACAAAATATAAGTTTTTATAAATCTTTTAAATTTTGTAATTTTTTTAAATTTTAAATAAAACAGCAATAAAAAGTAATTGCTAGTACATACCAAGCAAAACGTGGCGTTGCCTAAAGAACTAAAACAGAACATGCCTAATGATAATCCTTCAGTTGATTTTGATCTGTGATTTTTGATAATTTGCGGAATTCTTGAACTAACTAAATTAATGTAAAAATATGAGATAGGGAACAATAATTTACCGTATTTTTTAAAAAAACTTACGATAAAATGCAGCACTGCACCATCCCAAGATTTGAGGCAGCAATTTCATATGCGATGGCATGTCGCTATCATATTGAATCAATATGTTAAAACTTTCTTTTACATATAATGGATTGAAATGTCGAGATAAAGAGGAGAAAGAATAAACAATAAAGCCAGCTAAGAAAACGCCTATTATTCCAAATAAAATTCCAAATGATTCTTTTAATTTTGAATTGTGTACGGGATTGGATCGTTCAGATAGTAAGGGGGCTGATTCTAATTCTCTGGATGAGTCGTAAACTAATTCACTATATAAAGTATTTCCGCGACGACGACGATAATAAAGAATTTGCAATATTATGACGATGTCAGATATGACGTAATATATGCCAAGATAAATCTATTGGTAAAATTATTTCACGTGAGACGATCTGTTAATGGCTAATAATAGTAATCGTGGCAATTGCATTTTTTTGTTTAAATTAAATTGTGTAAGGTTTAATGCATCGCAGATCAAAAGCGCGGCATTCTCATTTCCGATTGATCACTCGAAAAGTGAACAACTTACCATCGTTGGTAATAACTCCTGTAAAATAGTTCCCGTCAAGTTGAGTAAATCACCAGCAAGCCATATGTAAAAAAAAGCTATCGATACAGAATGGCTTGATTTTCTCTTATAGTTTTCATAAAGCTGTCTGATTTTAAAAGAAAATTAATAGTTTTATTCATTTCACTTTTTCTTTTTTTAAAAAAGGTTACTAAATAATAGATATTTACGGAATGCTAACCACAATCCAACAAGCTATAGAAGTATAGCCCATAATTTCTGAAAAGGCCTTGTTATCGAATTTAGACATTTTTTCTAATATTTTTTCTAATATTTTTCTAATAATTGTAAATTTTGAAAAAAAAATTTTTAAAAAATAAAAAGAAAAAAAGTGAAAAGTGAAATTGACCCTACTTATTTATTTATTTATTTATTTATTTATGTATTTGTTCTGATCATTCAACGTTACCTTTTGCTTATCGAAAGACGGATACTACATTCCTATCTCATCCGATACTAGAATTATTCGATGCGAACATCACAAATCAAAGGAAAACACTATATGCTTAGTTGCATACCCCCTACTGCACTTAATATATATGAATAATGAAAATCGTGACTCCTCAATTTATATTATCATTACGTATCAATCATACGGAGACGCCTGTTACCTTGTTACGTAATATTTGGAAACTCCGTCCGACACTACCCGAAATCATTCCAAAGTTGGCTAACGTGAATCATCATAATAAACAATAAGTTTTTTTATTTTTTGAAATATCGATATACCAAAGAAACGTATTTGAAGATCACGTGTATATTAAGGTGAGAATCTTAATGTGGAGAAGTTTGTAAAATTAGATATATATGCTAAGATTATAATCACCAGATCGACTATAATACCATGGTCTGTGTGTATACAAGAGAAAACGAAGGTTTCGCTATAATCAATGATTCAAGATATCATTATTATTCATACTAAATATCGAATTTAGTTTATCAGTTAAGGCTTTGCGGATACCCGATTAAGAAACTTCTTTCGAATTATAGGCTCTGACTAAAGTATTCCGTTAGCAATTCTAGTTGGGAAGTATAGATTAAAAATTTAAAATATAGTCTCTTGTGCAGCAATACAGTTGTACCAATGAATTTCAAAAAAAAATGCAAAATATAAAAAGATATAAATAGATTTGTTTTCTTTGTTTATTGCTTTGTGTATGCATAAAGAAAAATATATATGGTTTTATAGTAATGGATTTTTAATTGTTTAAAAAAGAAGGCATTCATTTCGACAATCACTTTGACAATCACTTCGACAATCTTTCGCCGACATATTGATTTACCGATGATCCGAACCAAGCGTCGCTTAAAAAATTAGTTACGGTTTAAACTCAATCAAATTTATAGTTCCGATGGTTCAATATGTACAATTGATTTTAGATTTTATATTGCAAATTGAGAAGAAATCAGAAACTTTTTTGTGAAAAAAAACTCCTGAATGCTTAACATGCATTAATGAAAGTAAAAAGCGAATATATGAAAAAAAGGGTTACTTCATCTGATTTTACAAAAAGCGTTATTGATGTCAGTACATTTCTTAAAAGTCGATTTGCTCTTCGCAAACATTTAGTTTCACTACCGCTAAGAACAACTCTTTTAATAAGGTCAACAAATAATAAGCATCCATCTATGTACGAACTCTGGATATAACTAACTCAGAATTTTAAAATTTCATAATAATTCGACATAGAAGTACCATGAGTCCTTAAGAAAACATAGTAATTCTATAACGAACTTTTTTTTTCTTCCAAAACTGTCAGTTCGTCATAGAAAGAGTTGACAATATTATTTACATATTAATAAAAATAATTATAAGTAATAAAGTTTATTGAAAATTTAGAAACTTTTTCTCCACGAAGAAAATAGTTAAACGCGATTGGGCTATTAAAGAAAAAACTTTGAGAAGGATAGTACAATGATATACATGAGTGTTTAAATTATTTTGAAAAAAAAGTAATTTTGTAAAAAATTTCGCCGTTGCCATATTTTTTACATTAATGTATTTTATTTAAGAATTGACAATAATTTCGCCATTAATAAAAATTAATTTCGCTAACTATAGAAAACTGATTTTGGTTGAAATAATTATTTATTAAAAAAATTAATTTAGACACTTATATATAGGTGATAATTCGAATATTTATTATTGCAAGAATAAATGTTCCTGTTACATGTAACAATCTCGCATTAGCCAATAGTGGTCCTAGTTTTAATCCTTTTTTTCGAAAATTTTTATGTTTATTATATCGTAAATTAATGTATGTATAATGAAAATAAATTAAAATGCAATTTGTAAATTGCTTCTTTACAATATATATATATATATTTATCGCTGCTTAATTTTAAATTCTGATACGTAACTGATTTTTTGGGCGACGCTAAGGGTGGTTACGAGTAGATTATGTCATCTAGATCACCTCTTCAACAAATGGAAACCAACAATAACGAGAGATTATTTAAATCACCTCTTCACCAATGGAACCAACATTAACAAGAGATTGTTTCTTCATGTTTAGGCTACCAGTTGGCTATAATCGGTTAATCGACCCGAACCGAATAAATTTCGGGTAGCCGGTTGAGAATCGGTAATCGGGTGGAAGGATCGATATAGTATGTAAATGACATCAGGAATGAGCAAGGATAAGAAATGAAATGAACATAAAAGACGAGACAAAAATTTGAGTAAAGGTCCGAGTATAGTTGGTGGTAGAATTACTGAATTACATTCTACCATCTGGTATAATTAATTACGGCGTAGCATCTAATTGCCGTAAATATGTGACAGAGCCAAAATTCAGAAAATCGACTAAAATTCTGGGTCGGATAATTACGGCAATTACGGCAAAAATTACGGCACGTGCCGTAATTCGATAATTTTCAAAATTAATTCTACCAACAACTATAGGTCCGAAAGTAAAGTGTGAAGTAATCTTAGCCGGTTGCAATCTGTTGACATAAAATATTTCGGTTCGGTTAACCGATTAAGAAATTTTTTTCTCGGTTCAAATCACTAGTTTGGGCATGGTAGCTATAAAAGTCAAGTAACCATTTTCATTTTTCGGTAGTTTCCGATAATATAATGCTCAGCCGGTATATACAAGATTATTGATACATCCCGATAATGCATCGCCCAAAAATTATAAATTGTATTATTGAAACTACGTTTTTCTTTCCAATAAAAATAGCGAAATTTTCTGATGTATAAGTCACGTGTTCCAGCATATAATTATGTTATGGTCAAATATATAAGTTGGTTTTAAAAATTTATACAATTATAAACAAATGTGACTATAGAGATCCGAATGTATAACATGAATAAATAGGTGACGGATTAATCCGGATTGAAACTCTAATCGTCAAAAAAAGTTCGGGTACTTTTGATTTACATATTAAATTAATTAAAAACAAATAAATTTCGTTTCTGATAAATACGATTGTTTTAAAAAACAATTTTGTTCTTGGCTTGGTATTACGTGGTCAATTATGATTGGCCGATCACGGAGTTGCTATAGTAATCGGTTACTATAAACCAATATTTATATAATTACATAAGGCTCAACTATAAAGAAAATTTATATAAAAAAATTTATATAATTTTAATATAAATAATTTACATAGTTGCATTGTTTCCCAAAGATGGCTTTAATAATCAATATTTGGTATACTAAGTTGTATATTTTAAAGAATTCTAACCTCCATTTTAATTTAAACCTTAAACTTTCTCTAAAGATTAATTCAACTTAGTTTGAGGTAAATTTTCTATAGATCATACAAAATATGTAATAGCGAATTCACCTTTGGCGAAATTCTTAAAAAACTTTGCCTTTGACGGGCTTTGACACGGAATTTTGGAGATCCTTCCGTATGAATTTCAAATGATACGACAAGGTGAAACCCACTACGTAGATCACATGAGGGTGAAATCACTTTTGCATCATAAAAAACGCAGATTTCACCCTAACATGATCTACGTAGTCCTATTACAGTGTGATGAGTATTATGAGTGATCTGAATCATGCTAATAAATTACGTATATGCAGGAAAACCTGTGACTGATTACAGATTATAGTAAATCATTAAGTACAGTTACTTGCAAGATTCATATGGAACGGTGTAAGAAATAATGGATTTTTTTAATTTATTTAAGTTCAGCAGGCTCGCACATTATAATAAATCAATTAAATAATATAGTAATTTGTGTTTCATTTATCAATCTTTCGTCTAGTATATTTATTCAAACGTTAAATCTCGTGTTATATGGTAGTGTCGTCTGCACGGCACGCAATAAACAAATAGTGACTATGTATCCAAACAGTATATATATAACTTTTATAGCATTAATCTACAACTATATTATATATTATTTAAGGTCCTGTTAATGCAGTAATGTTGTATGTTTTCGTGTAACAATGGTCATATGCTTGCATTTATATGCATGTAATGAGATTGTGCCAAGCAAATGCATAGCATATATTCACAGAATAGAAAGCTGTTATACAATTACTTCTTGATCGACCAATTAGAATGCAAGTTTAAGTGTAACGTGAAATCGAAGCAAAACATTGTCTTTTTTTGAATAATCGTTTGTAACTCAAGATTTTGCATATGAAACCACCTCTTACGTTCTAATTAAAAAATTTCTTGCAAATTTTTAGATTAAAGGTTTTTTCTTTAAACCCACGTCTAACTCTAGGCTAATGTTAACCTTAACCTTAAACTAACGCATTTTTATTATTGTTTTGATTTAAGGGTAGGGTATACGTAGATCATTCTTCATATGACCTAGATGGTATAATAGATTTTTATATAGTAAATTAAAATGCGTTACTAATAAACTTCTTTATTTTTTAATTAATTTTTATCAAAATTTAATAATGAAATAATTTATTTGTACCCGTAGGGTATAGTTTACCCATGTAACACAATTATCGATCATATGCATCAGAGAATAAATTGTAAAAATTGTAGATAAACAAATGGCATTAGAGACGAAAATGCATAAATATTGAGAATGAAGGTAACATAGTCTCTTTTTTTTGAAAATAGTGCACTTAAAAATTGTAATTAAAGGATACAATACATGTTTTTCTGTTCTGAAACTTTAATCACATATCATTTTACCATTTGAAAAAGCTATAGTAGCATCAGTTACCAATTGATCTCATGATTTCTCACTTTTGGCATAATGATAGTATTTAGTCTTGTAATTTTTATGTAATTTTTTATAAAGATATATTTAACAAGAAGTTA